GAGACTCGCGCAGAGAGCGTGCAAACGTTGAAACACGAATCTGACCAGCATCGAGTTCCCTATTGACGTTCACGCTCAAGGCACGATATTGAATGAACTGTGCATCGCAACTGCGGGCTTTCTTTGCGCGGACCCCCCCCCTGTAGAACGAGATGACCCCGCCGCCATTTTGGGACAGCTGGCTGGTTCCCCCTCTCGGGGTCAGGGAGGCCACGGGACCCGTGCATCTTTTCAACAGGGGGGGCCCGAGCACCACAGCCCCTCCTCCTCCTCCTCCTCCTCCTCCTCCTCCTCCTCCTCCTCCTCCTCCTCCTCCTCCCCAGGCCGCAGAAGCAACAAGCCTCCGCTGGCCGCTCCTGGCCGCCCCCGCGGGGCCACTGGCCACGGCACGCGGTGCCGGGCCACGAGAGCCGAGAGGCCCCCTGCCGGGCTGCCTGAGCTGAGAGAGCTCCGCTGTTCCTGCCGCGCCCTGTGCTCCTCTTCTCCCTGCCTCCTCCTCCTCCTCGTCCTCCTCCTCCCCCTCCTCTTCTTCTCCTCCTCCTCCTCCTCCTCCTCCTCCTCCTCCTCCTCCTCCTCCTCCTCCTCCTCCACCCGCCGCCCTCACCGCAGTTTTACAGGTTGCTCGATGGCCCACGGCGGCTCATGCCTGAATCAACCCAGCCCGATCCTCACTTTTAAAGGTGGTCTTCTTGGTAGTGGCAATGGTCATCGGAAGCACAGCAAACCAAAAGGGGACGAAGCATGGACCCCTAAGCGTCATGCCCGACCCTTGACGTCGACCCTGAATGTTTGAGAGGGTGGACTGGAAAGTTTTGAAACGGGGTGGAGCCATAATGATTGGAGAAGGGGTTTGCCCTGAATCTGACTACCTACCAGCCCACCCCAACCCAACCCGAAGACCCGAATTTGACCCGAATTTCGGGTTGGGGGGGGTACGGGTTCCATGTGTTTTTTCAACGTTCCCCCACCCACCCCCCACTGGAAATGGAGGGCAAATTGAGGCCTTCGGGTTGGGTTGGGGTGGTTTGGTAGATGGTGAGAATCGTGGAATGGGTCTGGCTCTCGATAAAGTTCTGGGAGATGCTCCGCGAGAGGTCGGGCGTTTACCGTCTCCGCTTGAACTCTACTGCGGGAGCACTCTACTGTGGGAGCACTACTGGGGAGGGGGGGGGGAAAACAAAAAAAAAGAAGAAGACAAAAAAAAAAAAAAAAAAAAAAAAAAAAAAAAAAACGAGGTCCCGCGTTGGCCGTCCACCTCTCTGGAGTGGATCTGGAAGCGCCCCGCAGGGACAAGCGGGCGCAGGAAGGGTCCGTCTGCAAGATCCCATCTCCTCTCCGTTCTCATCCAGCTCCTCTTCATATTCATCATCCTTGTCGTCCCAGTCCCTACCATGATCGCCCTCATCACCTCCAGTTCGGTATCAGATTCATCGTCATTTTCTGCCTCATCGCCACACCTTCTGGGGCCCCAAACATGGCACCAAGAGCCCCCCCTCAAAACCCCACGAGGAACCAACAATTACATACGAATTCCCAATCAGCGGGACTTGGAGCGGGCTTGAGAGAATTACGCTGGTCTGGTCCCAGGCAAACCCCGCTGGGGCCGTTGGGGATGGATCGGGGTACCACCGGAAAGTGAAAAACCAAGCAAACCCCAAACCCATAGGGTTTGGCGAAACCAGCGGGTCTAGTCTCAGAGGATGGTCTGGGACCCCAGACGGGCCCCGAGGATGACCAACCACAACAAGGAAGAGACTCCCAGGCGGGCTCCAGGATAGCCCTCAGGAGGCCGAAAGCAAGTTGCACCGTGCAGCTTCGTTTGAAGAGCCCTCTTCGAGCCCAGATGGAGCCCGAGGAGGCCCTCAAACGGACCCAAAAACGCCCCCAGGGGGCTCAGGCGAACGAGGAGGTAGGAACAACTTTCCAGTCCACGCAAGTACTGATTCAAGCATCTCAGGATCCAACTTGTCAACAAAAGCGCAAAGGGGAAGTGTCGGGCAGCGGGGCAGCAAAACCGATGCACGCAGCGCGCAATAGATTCCTCACTTCCCCCCCTCCCTTTCCTCCTACCACCCCTGGCTGCCCACTCCCCTCCCCGAGGTGAGAGCACGTGCATTCTTCCGAAAATCCCTTTGAGTGTCGCGTCTGCTTCCATCGCGCCATGGCTGGCAGATGGATCGCTCTCCCGTGCCTCGCATCGGGTCGAGCAGCAGACAGGCCCGATCGACTGGACCGCTCGCGAGCACCCCGCTCCTCTTCTCACCGCGCTCCGAGGATGTCTCGAGCGCCCAGGGCCTCCTGGGTCCCACAATGCCCGGTGGCTGATCTTCTGGTGCGACATTTGGGATCTCGCGGTCGTCGGACTATCAAGCGCCAGCCGATTCGTGAGCCCCTGACTGCCTGGACATCCGACGTCCTGACTTTTCACGTGGACCCTTGGAGGTCTGGCCCTTTCCCTGGGGCTGGCTTCTCTTCCCGAGCATTGTTTTACGGCCCCGGGGCAGGGACCCCTGGAGGCCGAAAAAATACAACTATCCTGGCGAAGGACCCAACCATATGCAATTGTGAGTACCGCAGTTGTGAATATCTTCTTCGGTGGCGCTCCCTATGGGGCCACGAAACGTGTGAGGGGTGTGCCGAAATGGGTGTGCGGGACGCATGCGGGCACACCCACTGGGACCTTCGGTGGAGCTCCCTATGGGGCCACGAAACGTGTGAGGGGTGTGCCGAAATGGGTGTGCGGGACGCATGCGGGCACACCCACTGGGACCTTCGGTGGAGCTCCCTTGGGGCCACGAAACGTGTGAGGGGTGTGCCGAAATGGGTGTGCGGGACGCATGCGGGCACGTGGACCTGGCTCCCTATGGGGCCACGACGTGTGGGGTGTGCGGGACGCATGCGGGCCACTGGGACCTTCGGTGGAGCTCCCTATGGGGCCACGAAACGTGTGAGGGGTGTGCCGAAATGGGTGTGCGGGACGCATGCGGGCACACCCACTGGGACCTCTGGTGGAGCTCCCCTTGGGGCCACGAAACGTGTGAGGGGTGTGCCGAAATGGGTGTGCGGGACGCATGCGGGCACACCCACTGGGACCTCCGGTGGAGCTCCCTATGGGGCCACGAAACGTGTGAGGGGTGTGCCGACATGGGTGTGCGGGACGCATGCGGGCACACCCACTGGGACCTCCGGTGGAGCTCTCTGTGGGGCCACGAAACGTGTCAGGGGTGTGCCGAAATGGGTGTGCGGGACGCATGCGGGCACACCCACTGGGACCTTCGGTGGAGCTCTCTATGGAGCCACGAAACGTGTGAGGGGTCACGAAACGCGTGAGGGGTGTGCCCGAATGGGTGTGCGGGACGCATGCGGGCACACCCGCTGGGGCCTTCTGTGGAGCTCCCTATGGGGCCACGAAACGTGTGAGGGGTATGCCGAAATGGGTGTGCGGGACGCATGCGGGCACACCCACTGGGACCTTCGGTGGAGCTCCCTTTGGGGCCACGAAACGCGTGAGGGGTATGCCGAAATCGGTGTGCGGGACGCATGCGGGCGGCAGCACTGGGACCCTCGGTGGAGCTCCCCTTGGGGCCACGAAACGTGTGAGGGGTGTGCCGAATTGAGTGTGCGGGACGCATGCCGGCGGCAGCACTGGAGCCTTCGGTGGAGCTCCCTGGGGCCACGAAACGCGTGAGGGGTGTGCCGAATGAGTGTGCGGGACGCATGCGGACGGCAACACTGGAGCCTTCGGTGGAGCTCCCTATGGGGCCACGAAACGCGTAAGGGGTGTGCCGAATTGAGTGTGCGTGACGCATGCGGGCGGCAGCACTGGGGCCTTCGGTGGAGCTCCCTATGGGGCCACGAAACGCGTGAGGGGTGTGCCGAACTGGGTGTCGATGATGATGATGGGATGACGCTGACGCTGATGGGATGATGACGGCCATGATGATGCTGATGATGATGGCGATGACGATGACGATGACAATGACGATGATGATGATGATGATGATGATGATGATGATGATGATGATGATGATGATGAAGATGATGATGACGATGATGATGATGATGATGATGATGATGATGATGATGATGATGATGATGATGATGAACATGGGAGGAGGGAGGGGGCAGCGGAAAGGAAGGAAGGAAGGAAGGAACGCGGGGTGACGTCTCTTCAAAACGAGGACCCAACACCACAGGATGGTTGGGAAAAAGTAGCCTGGCGAAGGACCCAACCATATTCAGTTGTGGGCACCGTCGTTGTATGCACCGCATTCGGTGGGACTCCCTATGAGGCCACGAAACGTGTGAGGGCTGTGCCAAAATGTATGCGGTGGCCGCATGCGAGCGCTGGCAATTGGGCCTTCAGTGGAGTTCTCTATGGGGCCACGGAACGTGTGAGGTGTGTGCCGAAATGGGGGCAGCGGGAGCATGCGAGCGCTGGTCATGTGGGCCTTCGGTGTTCTCTCTGGGACCTTCGGTGGAGTTCAATCTGGGGCCACGGAACGTGTAAGAGGTGTGCCGAAATGGGCGCGGTGGGCGCATGCGAGCGCTGGCATCTGGGCCTTCGGTGGAGCTCCAAATGGAATCACAGAACGTGTGAGGGGTGCGCGCATGCGAGCGCTGGCATCTGGGCCTTCGGTGGAGCTCCCTATGGGGCCACGAAGCAAGGTACTGGGTGGGGGAACGCATGCGAACACCGCCACTGGGGCATTCGATGGAGCTCCTTATGGGGTCACAGAACGTGTGAGGGGTGTGCCGACATGGTTGACTGGTGCGGATGGCAGATGCATGGATGGGAGAAGGGAGGAGGAGAGAGGAGGAGGTGGGAGACGCGGGGCGCTGTCTCTTCAAAACGAGGACCCAACACCACAGGGTGGTTGGGAAAAACCCGCCTTGATCTGAATCGACTAGATCCATTGACATCTTGGTCGTGCTCAGCGTGTTCCCTCCCTCGATCCCTGGAACCCTTGCATCTCGGCAAGCGATGTTGAGCCCAGCACTGCCGGCGTCGAGCGAGAGAGCCGCCTCACGGGTTCCGGACGGCGCGCTGCCGGGGGCGGGACTCGGAGCCCTCCCAGGCTGGCGGAGGCATGCGGCTTTGACCAGGTGGGATGATCGGCAGGTGCTCCCGCTTTTCCACCAGCGTCGGCGCGAAGCGCCGTGGCTGGCAAAAGACAGACCCCATGGTCCCTCCCACGTCGTCCCCCATCCGAAACGGAGGGGGGGGACGACCGAGGAAGAAGAGAAGGAGGAGGAGGAGGAGGAGGAGGAGGAGGAGGAGGAGGAGGAGGAGGAGGAGGAGGAGGAGGAGGAGGAGGAGGAGGAGGGCGGGGGAGGAGGAAGAGGAGTCTTTCTCCCGCAGCGGACACACAACGCCTGCTAGCGACGCCGTGCAGACGTGCAAAAAAGAGAGGCAGGGCGGCAGCACTTTGCGGGAATGCCTGGCGCGTGGGCGGCAGGGAGAGAGAGAGAGAGAAGGCCCACACCCGAACCAGAGGGGCACGCCCCTGGTCGAGGCGAGGCCTGCCGACGCACCACGGAGCCCATGCGAGATCCCAGCCAGCACCACCGGCACCAGAGGCACAAGCACAGCGGAGCAGCAGCAGGGAGGCGCGCAGGAGGTGGAGCACGCCGCAGCAGCAGCGACGAGGCAACCGCAGCGGGGAGCCCACGCAGGGGCACAGCCACGGGAGTGGACGCCCCAGAGAAAACAGGACCCAACAGGCTGCCAGCACACCCACCCTCGGGAAATGGTCGGCCAACTCTCCTGCTGCGCGGACGGCGCAGATGCAGGGGAGGCGCCTGGAGCTGGACCGCAACCAGCGGCGCGGGCAACATACCGCGGGCGAGGATGACAGGATCCCTGCGCTGGCGGTTCTGGCGCCAGGCCGATCGGGGGCGCCTTCCCGGCGAAAGCCCTCTCTCCAGCACGCGGCAGCGAAGAATTCGATTGACCGCGCAAGAGAGCAAGGACGGGCACGGGGCGGGGCGGAGAGCCCCAGCGTCAAGACGAGGCGGGGGCGGCGAGAGAGCACGCGGGGCCGAGAGAACCCGAGCGAGCAGCAGAGCGCAAGGCGACGCGGGAAAAATCTAACCACTCAGAACCTGAGAACGCGGAACACAAGGCACACCTTCAAACTACAACCCGAAAGCTGCCAGCCCATCTTCAACGCGGCCATCGCGGACCAAACAGAAACAATCAGCTCATGCATCGGGTGGCGAAAAGAAGAAGCGAGGACAGGGGGCGACACGAATCGGGACCACAGGGACAACACACACATACACACACACACACTCACACACACACATTCATACACACATACACACACACACACCGTTCTGAGTATCGCCCCTGGTGGCACTCCCTATGGGGCCAAGAAGCGTATGAAGGGTGTGCCGAAATGGAGGTGGCGGTGCCATGCGAACCCTGCCACTGGGGCCTTCGGCGGAGCTCCTTATGGGGCCACGACGCGCGTAACGGGTGTGCAGAAATGGAGGCGGCGGTGCCACGCAAACCTTGCCATTGGGGCCTTCGGTGGAGCTCCCCATGGGCACGCGAAACATGTGAAGAGAGAGCATCGCCCGCTGATGCGGGCACTTCGTCGAGGTCGATCGCATGCTGCTGGCTCCCCCCGGCAACAGGGCGAAAGCAGCAGCGCGGACAGGTGTAATCCAATGGCGGGGGCCCGAGGAAGCCGGGAGGAGGAATGGCAGGCCAGCGCGGCTCGCCGCAGGCCCGCGAAAAAACAGCCAAGCGGCCAGGCCCCAAAGGGCACGGGGCAGGGACGACCGGGGTCGCGCAGACCACTTCGAGCCGACGTGACCGGGAGCCAACGTGGCGTGATCCAGAATGGCTACGGAGAGGAGGAGGACGAGGAGGAGGAAAATAACGACGACGACGAAGATGACGACGACGAAGACGACGACGACGACGACGACGACGACGACGACGACGACGACGACGACGGCGACGAGCGGAAGGCAAAGGAGGCCGACCTTCCCCAAGAAAGCTCCGTCCACAATCATCGGTGGGCCCCCGCACCGTGCGAGAGGTCAGCTGCGAGACGCGCAACTCTGGCGAAATCCGCCGCCTCGGAATCCGATGGGAGCTCATCCGCCTTCTTATAGAGGATGCGATGGCGGAGGAGGCGATGGCGATGGCGTTGATCAAGGATAGCGACGAGTTGTAACTGAGGAAAGGAGCAGGGACTGAGAAGCACAGTTGAGCGGAAGAAGGCGGAGAAGACGCCGTGAAGGACCGAGAGGACGTGGCGATGAAGATGGACCTGCAACTCCTCTCAGAAGTGTCGTCCACTTCGATGTGTATACGAGTGTATGTGTATGACGATATAGATAGATATTCACCTCAGCATATATATAGAAAGAAACTGCATATGTTTACCGAAATCTACCAACTTACACATACCTGCGTCTAGGTATGGATACACATGTATACAGGTGCACATGTTTAAATACACAACTGCGTGCGCGCGTGAGACCTGAACTCCTGCTTACCATTTGGCAGGAAACGCTCCTGTTTCGAACTGCCGCTTGGAACTAGCATGGCTGTGATCATTGAGCTTATGCCAGCAAGAAGGCGCCCATTTTGCACGGAAGACAAGAAAGCTCGAAACGTTTCGATTACTCCCTCCCCCATGTGTCGCATAATGAATCGTTCCACTGCGCCTCCGTTTGGTGCCTGTCGAGCAGACCGCCCTTCAACGGGTACCATGCCCGTACATGTCTTGTTCACCCCAAACAGATTGAGGCGCGTTGGACACCTGCCTGCCGAGAAATCTAATACGTGACACGTGAACGGCTGGCTGCCATGTCAACATCGAGAACAACAGCCACGCGCCCAGCGCCGCTGTGCTCGAGCGCTGTGCTCGAGCGTTGTACTCATTGCCCCCAGTGACGGGATGCGGGTGTAAACTTCGAAATCCACCCTTATATCCATGTATCTACATGACGTGTTCACCAGCACTACCCGATGTACGCCCTGACGGTTCTGGGCAAACCTGGTAATCGCGATAGCCCTGCTGGCGCTCATGAATACCACGCCTGCTGTGGCAGGTGAGATTAACGTGGTTGCCAGTCTGGGCCAAGTGCTGCTGATACTCAAACTGTTGTGAATCAGTCTGAAGTCCAGCTGCTGAAGTGGGCGACGAGGGTACTAGGTATCCGTGGCGACCCTAGGCCTGTACTTGATGTCCGATAAGACTGCCAAACATATCTGTACTGTCATGGGTACCGTCCCGCACGATCGTGATAGTACTGACCTATAGCAGGGGTAAAGATTGGGCGACTGTTGTCGGTGAAATCGCAGGTCGATGTTCACACCGAACGCACATAAGCTGCGAATTGGCAGGCGGAGGCGGAGGGTGATCTACCACCTTCAACATCTGCCAACGTCGCACGGCGACGCCGCCTGAATGGCCTCGATCTGCCAAGCCGGCCTTGCGCCCTCAACATGTTGGTCAGAATGAGGGAGCCCAACGGTCTTAGACCATCCCTGAGTGCATGCCTGAAGTGGGCTTCCACGGTGACGATGCGCTGTTTGCTGCTGTCGCCCTCGTACGCGACATGCCCACGTCCAACCCGCGAACCACCCGCGACCCACCTCCCCCCGCGATCCACTCGTGACGCGCCCGCGACCCACCCACGAGCCACCCCGCGAGCCATTCGCGCCCCACCCATATTGTTTGACCAACAACGGCGCCTGCGGCGGCCCCGTTGTACAATGCGTAAAAAAGTGTCGCCTGCTGCGGGATGTTTCAGATTTGCTGCCGAACCTCGCAGAGTGCCGACGACCCCCCCCCTTCCCCCTCACTCTGATCCGCAACTGCCAACGCTGTGGTTATGTATCCGGCCCAAAGATGACCCCAGTATCATCCTCGTCATGGTACTCGCCCTCGCACCCGTCGACGTGACAGTCCTCATCCTACTCCCCCACATGATGATCCTCCTCTCCCCCTCCTTCCTCGCCATCATCCCCCCGCTCTACTTCTTCCTGCTCCCCCTTCTCCTGTTGGCTGCTGCGCCGCTAGAGTGGAGAAAAAATCCGCCGACCCTGCCGGCGCGTGGAAGAGGCTGTTCCGTTTGACTCGTCGTCGTCGTGGTCGTTGTCGTCGTCATCGTCGTCGTCGTCGCCTTCGCCGCTCCCCTCCCCTTTCCCTAGGCCCGTCGCCGCTCACCCCACTTTCACCGGGCCCTCCTCCTCGAAATTGAGCAACGTTGTAGTTGAGTCGAAGGGAAGCCCCTTCCCTTTGATCCCTTCCCCGCCGGGGGAGGTCCCGGGGGGGGGGGTCGCCACCCAGATACGACTCCCCCCCTGGCGGTTCGGGGGCCCAGAAAAGCCCCAAGACGCAGCCAAAGTGCCCCAAGATGCCACCAAGACGGTCCTCGAGGGCCCCGAGTCGCCGAGTATCGGTCCAAGTCGTCAAAGTAGCCTCCAGACGGCTCAAAAGGTTTCCAAAACGCCCTAAGAGGCCTCCAAGAAGACTTCCAAGAGGGCCCCAAGGGGCAAAAATCTTGTCAGCTTCCCGACGCTCCAAGACAAGCCAAGAGGCCCCCAAGACCGCCCCAAAATGGCCCAAGAGGCCTCCAAGAGGACCCCAAAACGACCCAAGAGGCCCAAAGACCACCCCAGCGGCCTCCAAGGCAGCCGAAGAGGCCCCCAAGAGGGCTCCAAGAGGGAGCCCAGACGGGGGACCCAAACGGTCATTTCGAGCCCTCGGCCTGAGGTGGTCCCAGGAGGCCCCCAGAGGCCCCCCAGAAGCCCCCCAAGAGGCCCCAAGAGGCCCCCAAGAGACCCCCAGGGAGCCCCAAGAGGCTCCAACGAGGCTCCTAAGCGGCCTCCAAGAGCCTCCAAAGAGGCTCTTAGAGTACCCCCAAGAGGCCCCCGAGAGCGCTCGTCGTCGTCGTCGTCGTCGTCGTCGTCGTCGTCGTCGTCGTCGTCGTCGTCGTCGTCGTCGTCGTCGTCGTCGTCGTCGTCGTCGTCGTCGTCGTCGTCGTCGTCGTCGTCGTCGTCGTCGTCGTCGTCGTCGTCGTCGTCGTCGTCGTCGTCGTCGTCGTCGTCGTCGTCGTCGTCGTCGTCGTCGTCGTCGTCGTCGTCGTCGTCGTCGTCGTCGTCGTCGTCGTCGTCGTCGTCAGTCAGGGTCAGCGGCACCGGCCGTAAGGCCTTCGCAATACCCTGGCATAGAGACCCTAAACACCAACGCTGCATGATGAAAAGCATGGTCTGCACGGCACCGTACGGCAATGTTCCGAATTCTGCAAACCAGGCTCCACACGGCACACGGCATGCGGGCACGGGACGGCACGGCAAGCGGCCACGGCACATCGCGCAGGCACGGCACGGCACGACACGACACGCGCCGGGCAGGGCACGGCGCGGCACGGTACGGCACGCGGACGGCAGCTTTCCCGTGTTCCAGCGACTAGCCACGGCACGGCACCTTGGCACGGCACGGCACCTAGATGCGGCACGCGACGGCCACGGCACGGCACCTTGGTACGGCAGGGCACGGCACAGCACGGCACGACACAGCGTAACACGGCACACGGGTACGCTACCGCACGGCACGAAGGGCGGCAACGCTTCCGCATTCCAGAAACCAGACACGGCACGGCACAGCACCTCACACCAACACGGCACGGCCCGGCACGCGGGCGACAACGCTTCCGCGTTGCAAAGTCTAGGCGCGGCACAACACGGCACGCAAGCACGGCACCACACGCGAGCACGACACGGCCAGGCACGGCACGCGGGCGGCAACGTTGTGGCATTCCAGAAACTACACACGGCACGACACGGCACACGAGCACGGCACGCCACGGGCCCGGCAACTTGTTCGCCTTCCAGAAACAAGGCACAGCACGGCACAGCACACACTGCGCGCGGGCACGGCATGGCACGGCATGGAATGGCACGGCACGGCATGGCACAGCACGGCAGGCGGGTGGCAACTTTTTGCGAAATCCACAAACTAACAATGGCATGTCACGGCACGGCACGCAGCCACGGCACGGCACGGCACGATAAGACACGCGGGCACGGCACGGCACGGCACGCGGGCGGCAACCTTCCGCCTTCTGGATTACAAAACCACATCTCTTATACAAGGTTCAAGGCCCATTCCAGCATTTACTGTTTAGGGAAATGTCTGCGCTCCCCCTAGGCCCAGGCATCGCCATCGCTCTCCCGCCCCCTCCCCCCCCGGTTCTGGGGAGCACCAAAATACCGATGCCGCTACTCCTCGGAACTCTCCAAGGGCGCGTTCTGGCCAGAATTCCCATGCGAATCCCACCGCGGCGATGAGGGGCGCGCAGTGGCATCGGCACCCGCGGGGCCCAGCCGCGGCGCCTTCCAGCAGGACCCCGCCGCCACTTCCTCGCAGACGTACCAGTCGCACGCCCTGCAATCCAGGACCTTGCGGCACTTGCGCCGGGGGCGGAGGCGCCCTCGCCGACGAAGGCAGGCGACAGCGAACTTCGGCAAGGGCGGCACTCAGGGTGGCGCGAGGGAGATCCCTTCCGCGTGGAGGAGGGGCGGCGAGGAGCTGGATTCGGCAGCTGAGCCATAATGTGGCGAGAAACTAATTCAGTCACTGACGCCATCATCTGCACTTTGCCCGCTGCCAACAACCTGACTGCCAGCAACCTGCACCCACACACTTCCCCCCGCCTCCCGCAAAGAGGTCGCCACCACCGACGTGGCGATGCCTTCCGCGGCACGGCAGAGGGAGGCACTGGCCCCATCAAGAGAAGGATGCGGGTCCTCGAAGCTGGCCAGCTGCATGGAGGAAGCCACGTCGCGGGACGCGGGTGCAGACGAGACGGCAACATATTCATCAACAGGGGTCGGCCCCCAGCATTGCACGGGGGTCCAGCCAGGAGCCTGAGACACTGCGACCGCCAGCCCCATTGCCGCCGCCGCGAAAGCCGCAGGTGGGCCACGATGGGACGGGAAAAGATCCCTGCGGATCCTTGAGAAATTCTCATGGCCCCTCTCTCAGCCAGGCCCTTCCCTCCAGCACACTCATTGGCGAGACGGCCGCCCATCAGGGGCCACCGCAAAACCCCAGACGGAACAAAACTGAAGAGAAAACTACCTCACTTCAATGGGTCCGGTACGAAGCGCGGAGCTCCACGCCTTCGACGAACTGAGCGCAACACAGCGGCTCAGAGAGGGCACTGCCCTCGAAACCAGGCACGGGACCAGACGATGCCGAAGGCGCACACGCGCCGGCAACGAGAAAACCCGCGAACACCCGTGCGCCGCCACGGCCAGGAGTTGAGACCAAGGGACCTACTCCAGATTTCGTAATAAAAGGGAGGGGGTCTCATTTCGGGGGGGGTCTCTTCCAGGCTATCTTGGAGGGCCTGGGGGGGTCTGGGGACGATGTTTTGGAGGGTTCTCCCACGGGGGGGGGTCTAAAACTTTTCGTCTGGGAGGGTTGAGACCCCCTCCCTTGTATTACGAAATCTGGAGTAATTAAGGACAATCTGCGTGCACAGCTGGCAACGCCACCTGCCTACAAAAGGCTTCAGCTCATGCGCGCTGGCGCCGGGGGGCCTCGTCGAGGGGCCGACCTCGGGGGGCCACGCGTCTCAGACGGCCCGGCGCCACCCGAGGCTCGACCCCTAAAAATAGATGCAAGCACGTCGCGCCCCCCCCCCCCCCACAGACCATGGCAACTGCGGCACCGTGCAAATCTGCGCGAAGGGGGGGGGGGCTGGGCAACCGTCTGACCCCGAGGCCACTTGGCCGCCGCGCCCGCCCGAACGCCCGCGCACGCACTGCCCCGACGGAGAAGCGCGCCTCCCGCTGGGTCTTGATCCGAACGGGGCCTTTCTCCAAGTGGGCCTCCGTCGAACTAAGGAGGAGGGGGAGGGGGAGGGGGAGGAGGAGGAGGAGGAGGAGGAGGAGGAGGAGGAGGAGGAGGAGGAGGAGGAGGAGGAGGAGGGGGAGGGGCAGGAGGAGGAGGAGGGGGAGGGGGAGGAGGAGGAGGAGGGAGGAGGATAGCTTGGAGCCCGACGGGGCCTCTCGACATCACGGCCCGCCCCGTCGCGCGCCCAGAGAGGTCACCGACGACGACCCCCCTCGGGGCGCGGGCCCCGCCGAGGTGCCAACTCAGAAGCTCGAGGCCCACAGCCGGTCGCGCACACGAGCGGCCCACGCGGCGTGCTCTCCAAGAGTCAGAGCACGCGAGCAGCTCCGCGCGAGGTGCGCTCCGCCGCCCCCACGCGCCTGCTCCGAGGTCAGACCACGCGAGCAGCTCCGCGCGGGGTGCGCTCCGCCGCCCACCCCGGGGGGCCGAGGCGCCACCCCGCAGGAGGGACTGCCAAAGCAGGGGGTCGTCGGGCGCTTGGAGCATGGCCACGGCAGCGGCATCGCACCACCGCCCTCCGGCGTCGGAGGAGAGAGAGCCCCCCCCCGCCCGGAAGAGCCCCCGAAACACGCGCACAGCGGGTTGCCCTTGAGGGCCGCCCTCGGGCCCGGAAGTCCGCCCCCCTCCCCCCCCAGGAGGACTTCATACCCAGAGAGCACCAGGACCGCGAGCTCCCTCCGAGGGACCCCCTTGAGCCACGAGGCTGGCTCCGCCCCGCGAGTGGGCCAGCGCCCGCGCGAGGGGGGGATCCGAAGACGAAAAATCCTCGTGGCCCGCGCTGGCATCGCCCGTCCAAACACGGTGGAACAGGAGCCCTGGCGCGCGGCGGCAGCGGGGACAAAGGTCAGGACAGGCCTATCCTGCACTTCGCTGGCGCGGTCGCGGCCAGTGGCCTTCCGACACCACCGACAAGTTAGCTGACCACATACTCCTCGCTCCACGTTTGGCAACGCGGCCGAGCTCCCTAGAGATCAGCAGCATGCCCGCTCATCCGCACAGGTCGTCGCCTGCCGCGCGCTGGGAAGCCTCTGCCCAAAGCAAAACCCTGGAGCCCCCTGAGAAAAAAACGCCAAGCAAATCACCGAAGTCGGCCGCGACAGAATCAGAAAACCCAGGATCCCGAACCCAGGCAGCCCCCAACCAGCCGGACGTTGACAGAGCGGGGCGCCCAACCAGCCTGGAGCAGGGCAGCCTGGACAGCAGCTATCGGGCCCTCGACTCGCCGCCAGCGAACAGGCTGGAGGCACACTGCGGCAGCAGCCCCCTCACCTCGCGCCAAGCTTGCGCGCCTTGGACTGCAAGGCGGGTCGCGACAGCCAGAAGGGAAAATACGCTCTTCCAGAACTTGAACGCGCAAACCGATACCTGGGGCAGTTTCCCCCCGGGTCGCTTGGAACACAGAGGTGAAACATCGGCCCTTCTTGGCACCGGCCAAAGCAGCAGCAGCACCTCTTCTAAGCTCCAGAGTCCGGGCCCCATGCGCCTCCACAAGCTTGCGCACAAAGACGGCCGAAGGGTACATCCCAAAGTCCAAACATTCACGGTGACAAACCTGCTCACAGAAAGGACCCCCTGATGGCACCTTCGGCGAGCAAGAACTTTATGTATTTCTTCATCTCGCGACAAGCTCTGCGACGTCCATCCGCAGCACTAGTGCCCAGGCCTACCACAGAAACAGCGAAGCTCATTGATATCCGGAGATTTGCAAGATTCTTTTACAAGTCACGACCGGCGCTGTCACTCGACGCCGTCAGCCTAATTTTGTCGCAGCAAACATCGAGGCTCGATTCAATGGAAATCTACTGCGGGGGGGGTCCTGAGCAGACCTGCCGTTGACGACCTGCCTGCATTTCCCCATCCTTGCGGCCCACGACGTCGTCTATGCAGGTCCAAATGCCAGCAAGGGGAACCGAGCGGTGAGCACGATCCAAGATTCTGCGGAGCATCACCTGAGCAGCCTGGATTCAGAGGGGCGACCGTGCCACGATCGACCTGGAGACCGCCATAATTACGCGAAAACAGACTGCCTCTCCCAAGCAGACGCGGGGCCGAATACAACTCGACTTCAGGTAACAGAATGATAACAGCGAAGACGCAACCCAGGCCAGCCTCAATCAACCACACAAATGAGTTGGAGAGGCGGTAGCGGGCCATGATATCTTGAGCTGGACCCACTGGGTCGGACCGCTTGCACTGCCATTCCAAGCCCCGCGCGTCGACGAGCAGCCGGGGGCCCATGGTCGGGCGTTCGTCCGGGTCTAGACATTCACCCTCGAGCGGTTGACTGTCCTTGACGCGGCAGCGGGCCAAACCAGGAGCCTCCGACCACAGCCCCGCCGCTCATTCCACGAAAGCAGATCTCAACGACGCCAAGGCGCGCGCCACCGCCAGATCGGCCCATCCTCTAACTTGACCCACCAGCTCCTGCAAATCATCAGCAGGAACCAAAGCGACGTTCGAGACCAGCCCCGCCCGCGTGAAAATTGAACACTGGCGGCCCTTCAACTAAAATGCCGCCCGCGCTGCGCACCGCCCAACTGCAAGACATTCCTGCTCAGCTCCAGGGCGCGCAAGGCAGCTTGATTTGCATCATTGCCGTTGCATCTGAGGGCAGCATACCTGATCACGAGAGCGCTGACGATGCCCCATCAGTCAGCCCGAGGGACACGCTCGCGCGCGTGCCCAAGGGCAGCCCTCATCTTGGCCCGCTCGAACTTGAGACCGCCAGCCTCGCCACGGCAGGCGCGCCATTCTTCCCGAGGCACCCGCCCACTCCAGACGCCCCTCCCAGAAAGAAGCCCACAGAGAGCAATCACGAGCAACAGCGCTGCGCACACCTGCCCCCCATTGAAAGACAAAGCGGTCGTCGGGGATGCAAGGCAAGGCCCGCCCCTGCGCTTGAGGTTAGACATGCCAGGGTCACCCACGCCACCAAGGTAGTCCGTGGAGACGCATTGCATGCGGGGAGCAGGAGGCGCACAGCCACTGCCTGGGCCTCGGCCCACATCGCCCGTCGGCGACCCCGGCTTCACCGCGCACCGCGGGGAGAGGACACCCCGTCCGCCCACGGCCGCCTCGACCCAGGGCCCGCGCCCATCCCCCCTGGAAGACGCAACACGAGGTGCCACTGGAGAAGACGACCGCGCACCACCCACAAAAGCAATACGGTCAAGGTCACCGTTGGAGGGGGAGGTCGACGCGGCCCCCGGCGCTGCTGCGCCAGGACGGGGTCGTCGACCTCCTCGCTCGGCACCAAGTGCGGGGGGGGGGCCCGCGGGCAACGCCACGCCAGTCCCACACCCGCCCCGAATCGCCCCCTCACTGCGCGCGCGGGAAATATCCGCCGGAGCACCCGGCCCACCAGCGCCAGCCACGCAGAGCACGTCACTGGCGCCCACGTGAGAGGCGGGGCAAGCACTGCTATCGCCGAGGCTTCGGCTCGCATCGCCCGTCGGCGACCCAGGCCTCGCGGCGCCCCCCTGTGAGTGGGCGACCCGCCCGTCGGCGGCCGACTCGACCCATGCCAGCGCACACCTCC